TAATATTGCTCATAAAAAAAATCAACAAGTATACGTGTATGAAAGACTAATTATTTAATTATTACACAGTATAACATGATACAAATTGTTTTTATACTAGACAATCATGTGTATGATCATAAGCACCGATTATTGTTTGAATGAACCCAATTGATGAATAACATGGACCATGTTCCCAATTGATTGTACTTGATTTTTTTCTATAAGATTCCCATGGTTTAACACATGAAGCCTATTAAAAAAAAAAAATACTTTTTCTTTATATATAATCTGTCTAATATAAATGTTTCGTGAATATTAAAAAGATTGCAATGATTTGTTCCCTAATTCTTTTTCTTCATCCCGTACATCTGAAATGCTATGGAGCCATCCGATGGTTCTATTATGGAGCCATCCTGATTGAAAAAAATTTGAAAAACGTATTATCAGAATACGTTTTTCAATCAGGATGGCTCCATAGCAGGACTGTCCCGTACACTACCCTCTGGATTTTTTTTTACAAGTAATCTTTTGAATAATGTAACTTCATATCATGAAAAAAGAAAAATTAAATGAAAATGATAAACTTATCCTTATCCTGCATATCCTGAATTCACTTTCTCATTAAAGAATCAACTAAAATAACTGTAAGTCAGATTCCATGAAAATTGAAAACTGTGCCCAAAATAATGCTACCCCTACTATAGACTATAGTCAGTCCCATAAATACACATAACAAGATATATACATATTACATGTACTAATTAATACTTCCTTTTTTTTTCAATAACTGTCATTTTGAGAAGTTGCACAGTAATTAAGAATATTTTTTTTTCAATAATAATCCTCATTAATAAGAATAGAGATGGTTGTTTTGAGAAAAGATGAAGAGTGAATATGAAAAGACGTAGTGTATTTATTAGCTAAATAAGGGTAATAATGAAAAAATATGTACAAAAAATCTAAAACGTCATTTATTTGATTAATTGTTGAGAAAGCCAAAATAATATTTATTAAAAAAAGAAGGTAGTATTTATGTATTTCCATTTTCCACTATGTATTTAGACAGATATCATTTAGGTGACTTACAAATAATGACTGCCATGTCTAAGGTTTTGAGGAAGTAGCTAGGTGGGGCGGTACTCTGTGATAGGATATTTTATTTTTCAAAAGTATCAATTCTGTTATTTCACTGTAAAAAGTTCCAAATTTGATAAAATTAACTTACAAAATATACGGATTTGACGTATTATCTCTTATTTCTTAGTTCTTATTTATCATTTACCGGCCAGCAAAACATTTCGTGGAGAACTTTCATTTTCACGTAACCAACAACACATGGGCGTCTTAAGGTCATTGTAGTAATTTATTATGCCACTTTTGGCACTTTTTATACAAAGTTTATAAAGTTGAAAAATTGCCTCACAAAAATGTAGAAATTTGACATATTACCCATTTTGATTCATTTTGAACAAAACAAAAAATTATGAGAAGAGTATGTTTCAACTTTGCTTTGACTGCATTTTTTTTTTGTTCTTTTTTTCTTTTTATATGAGAATTCTAGTGATTTTAACAAGAAAAAAAGTGTTACATATCATTATTGGAATGATAAAGGCTAAAATGCCCTTTAGGCGGTGTTATGTGTTGCTCGTGCACCATTGTCAAGAACATTTTTGTAAAAAAAAATATGAATTAAGAGAGATAACATATCAAGTTCGTATATTTGAGCGTCGATTCTTCAACTGTAAACAAAAATGACCTAATGAAATTACTATAATGCTCTTAAGACGCGCATATGTCTAGACACGTGTCAGTTTGTTGCAAAATTTCTAAGCGTAAACGAGTAGTAAAAATAGAGTAATATACAAAATTAGTGTATTTTACTAGTCAACATGCAAATTTAAGGGTTGACTTTAGTATAATTTTTTAACTTAAAATCTAACTCATGTTTAACTCAATCTAACTTTTTTCAAAATTATTATTATTATTATAATTAGATAATACTAATTACTCATCCTCACAAATCACATAAACTTTAATTCACTATTGATCAACTCACATACTTTTAATCGTCCATCACTTCCAACCAACCATCTTATAATTTTAAATCACATTAACTTAATTATTTTATTTTAAATATTATTTAAATATAAACTTAATATATACTCAAACCAAATCTCAATCAACTTTTTGAAAAATTAACTTACTTTCATCAATAAATACAATCAAATTCAAAACAACTTATATCCAATCAGTCCAAAAAATTTTAGAGCAACTGTCCCTAAGAGCATCATCGAATTTTCCCAAAACTAGCATATAACTGGACTAAAGAAAAGTTATCCCTAATTTTAACCTTTCATACATTTGGATACCTGGATACCGGTAATTATATGGAAAATATATTCTAACCATTTCAATCTATTTTTTTTTATTCTTCCTACTTTTGATTGTAGAAATCAAAAACTTGTAATATCAATCAATCTAATTTCTTTAAACTTTCATACATTTGGATATAGAAATAAAAAACTTGTAATATCACTCAATCTAATTCTTTTAACCTTTCATACACTTGGATACCGATATTTCTTGTAACCTTTCATACATTTGGATACCAATATTTTTATATAGAAAATATCTTCTAACCATTTCAATCTATTTTTTTTTTTTTTCTTCCTATTCTTGGTTATTACAGTCAAAAACTTGTAGGGAACTAAAACATACTGCGGGCATCCTTTGTGGACAGAGAGTACATTATAAAAAGAGGGCTATTCTTTGGTATAGTCATCTCCAAACACACCCTACTCTCTGATTCTTTTTCATATTATTTTTGCCTAACTTTTATAGTAAAAATATTTATGGTAAAAACAAAAATTGTGCTTCACAACTTGATCAGTAATCACGTAAATTTTGACAAATGCATGTCAATTATTTAGATGAATTGTTAACCACATAAGATATTTGTTAAGTTCACAACTTTAAATCTAAAAAATTATCTACAATGCACAATGTGATCAAATATAATATTGTCCACATGGAAAAAATAAAAAAAAAGTATAAATAAGAAATAAAAAATAAAAATTGTAATAATATTTCTCTCTCATCTCTCAATTAATGGTTGATTAGAATGTGAAAAAGAATGTTGATGAACCACATTGTTTTCTACGTTGTATATATTAATTATGTCCACCTCATCATTATATTTTTTTATTATATTGTACATTGTAGGATTAAAAGTGGAGACATTGTTAAATTTGTTAGTATAAAATGTAGTTTACTATAACTACATTTTACCATTGGAGATGCTCTTAAATATTGACCATATAGAGTGGCACAACTGAACTACATTTTACCATTGGAGATGCTCTTAAATATTGACCATATAGAGTGGCACAACTGAATAAATACTGGCAAAACTGAACAAATACAATAAACCAATAAAAATATTTAATGTACTTGTTATACAATTTGCAACAATAAACCAATAAAAAGTATTTATTTCATTTATTATTTTTATATGTAGTTTATACATTGATACATATTTATATTTAGCGTTTATTTGCAGAATGAATGTTACTTGCGATTGATTTGACAAAACTAAGTTGTGTTAATATACTTTAATATAGACAAACTTAGTGTGACTTTACACAATATATATGTATATGTGGTCGGAGTAAGTGTTTTTTTCTTTCACTTAATTCAATGTCAAATTTTATTTTGCCATACATAAAATTGATATTCTCTTATGAAGATGTTATTTGTATAAATATGTAAATTTTTAAATTTATGGATTGTCAAATTAAATTAAGAAAAAAAAAAAATTAAATATTTTTTTCTAAATAAATAGACAATACCAAAAAAATTAGACTAGATTGAGTTATTTGAATACATATTATTTTGTAGTGTTGGAAGGATATATAATAATTATCACATTATACTAATTTTGAAGTCTGGTATGGATTAGTGCTATTGTGAACATACTCACAATTTTTTAATGAATTTAGATCATATCTTTAGGTTTTCTTTATCCTTTAATTTAAATAATATAAATTTTATTATCCTTTAATTTAAATAATATATAAGTTTGATTTATTTAACTTAAATAATTTCTAATTATCATTTAATATAAATAATATTTATAATCACTACTAATATTTCTGATGTAATAACGGTAAAATATTTTTAAAAAAATAAATATTAATCATTTAGCAATTCTACCTCAAATTGAAATTTATCAATGCCCTAAATAAAGATTTCCCAACATAATTTTTATTTTTTTTATATAAAAATTTTTCAACTGTGTGGCTTATCACAAAAGAAATTGAATAAACCATATTTATGTTGCCTAATATTTGATTTATAAAATTAATGTTAATATTAACACAATATTTATTTTTATTAACTTTTTTATTTGCTATACTAGTTATGGTCTAAAAGTTATCGAGCAAAGTGACAAAATTACCATCATTAAATTCAATAAAAAAAAGTTATCCCTAATTTTAACTTTTCATACATTTGGATACATACAGGTAATTTTATATAGAAAATATCTTCTAATGAGATACTCCATTTCAGTCTATTCTTTCTTTTTCCTACTTTTGATTATACAAATCAAAAACTTGCAAGACCCAATCAATCTAATTTATTATTTTTATATATAATAATACTAATATACATGTATAGGAATAGTGGTAGAGAGAGAACCACTTGAGGAAGGGGCACTAGGGGAAAAAAACATACGGCGGGCATCATTTGTGGAGAGACGAGAGAGTATAAAAAGAGGGCTATGCTCTCCAGCCATCAAAGACTCTCATCTGCTTCTTCTTCTTCTTACTTTCTCCAAATTTTTATCCATTTTTCCATTTCTTGGAGAATGGAAACTCTCATTGAATGAATTTGTGTGAACTAATCTCTTGCCTCCCATTATATATTTCATTTCACTCTCCTTAATTTAATTTCTGTCAAGCTAAAAAAAAAGATTGTTGCGAAAGGGCTGATTGAATCTGTGTGCGTGTGCTGCAAAAATGGGTGGTGACAAAGCTCTTAGCCTTGAAGAGATCAAGAATGAGACTGTTGATTTGGTAAATCAAAATCTCTGCTTCTTTTTTGCTCTGTAAATTTTTTGATGTGATTATTTTATTGTTATGTGAAGTGGGATTTTGCCTGTTTGTAGTATTTTAGTTTTAGTTTTTGTGTTTTTTCACTTGATTTGATTTGCCTGTTGAAATCTGAAATGGGATCTGCTTGTTTTTTTGTTTTTAATTTTTTTAAAGTCTGCAATTGGTTCATTTCTGAAAATGAGAACTATTGGAACTAGTGGAATTATGAAGGGACAATTTCTAATTTTATATATCCTTATTTTGACTATATAAAGAAGATCAATTGCACAGATGCTTTGCATTCTGTTTCAAGTATACAGTCTGTCACTACTTTTTTTTCTTAAAAAAAAAATATTACAACTTTTTTCTGCTATAAAAACAATTGAGTATATAAATCAACTACTTTTATTTGGTTCATCATCTAATTACTTTATTTTTTGTTTGTTTTTTATTCACCAAAATTCGTAGAAATGTACATGTGATTGTATCCCACATAATGTAACAAGAGGTCACAAGATAGCCCTGGGAACATGGGAGGATTTATTGGCTATAGCTGAATTAAATAGTAGCATTTTTTTTTTGTTTGGCATGATGATTATAATTAATTATATTATATATATTCAAGAAATGAATATATTCTTAATTTGTGTAAACTAAAGATCTCACATGGCACAGTTGTACAGATTTTGCCCAACCTATATTATTAAGGGCTTACATTTAAAAAAAGAGTAAAAAATAAATAAATAGTCAATTGTACAAGCTGTAGAGTAATTCTCAAGGATGCTCATGTGGAAAAAATTTGGATCGGCCGATTTTAAAAATCGTTATTTGACTTCTGTTATGCCCGTTTGATTTTGTCCTTTTTCATGATTTATTTGTTGGAAAAAAAACAGAAAAAAATAAAATAGAAGAAATTTGTTGTAATTCTCCATAAGTTTGTCAAAAGTGGCCTCGATGATACCAACGAAATAGTCTAATTCAGCATATCCCGAATTTGTAGATTATTTCTGTTTTATTTTATTATAATTTTTTGGTCTGTAAAGTGTGGAAAATATAAATACTTTAAATTTATTTTCTTTAGTTTTTGCTTTTAATAATGGAGGAAGATGAAAACGTGGAGAGTGGAGTTTTCCTTTTTTGTCTGGTTTGGTATTTATGGGGGAAAAAAATCGTTACGGGTGGTACTTTTTTTCCGTGGTACTTTGCCCCCTATGGTTTCGGTATTTGCAATTTTGGGAACCTCCAAAAACTTCTGTACGCATCTTTTTTCCCGACTCCTCCTGACACCAAATATTTATTTTTAGCTATTTACGCAGCTACCCTTACAATACCTCGAAGATTTCAAAGTTGCCCCTAAAAGTCTAGCCTTTATTTTTTTAATATATTGGCGCGTGGGCCCCACCGTAAGTGGCGCCACTGATATTGGGGTGGGATAAACGACGCCATTCTTTGCGGATTTGAGCATCGTTATTGGTGGGCCCCAGCCACTCGGATTCTGAAAGTCAACTTTAGAATTGTGTATTTACAATTTTGTTCCACTTGTTTGACTGATCAAATTGCCGTTTTTACAATTAAAAGAAATTCTGTACATATTATAACGAGATTATATTAGAGACATCTTATTACATTTAAGAACAGCAATTACGATAATAATAAGAATGTGATTTGCGTAATGATTCTTTATGATTAAGGTGATAATTTTTTGACTTTGTTTTTCAACGACTTTTGACTTGAATATATGATTGGTAAAAAAAGTAATTTTTGAAAAATGCCATGAGAAGTGATAAGAAAAAAAACTTATCTTTTTGATAATTTGACTTGGACTTATTTTAGCGTAGAAATTGGACTTTTTTTCTTGGGTTAGGTGGATGGTAAAATAGTAAATACACTGTACTAATCTATTATGATGTATTTATTACCTTTGAAGTTTTTGGATTAGGTAGAGAGTGAAACTTGGGAATTACTCGTCTACCCTCTTTAGCCACGTGTCAACATATCTTTATCTTTCCATTACATATGATATGTTAATTTCATGAAAGAATAGAAAGGAACTAAAGGAAATGAATTAATTATTGATTGGATTAAATAGAAGTAACATAATTAAAATTCATCACACATGGATTATTGAAATATTTAAGAAGAGTTGATCTAATGATCTTGATATTATTTGTAGTAGTTATGAAAAGCCATATAAAAAGAAAACAACTACAAATCCTATGTTGTTTTTGTTTCACATAAATTGTTATTTGATATCATTAGTTAATTGTTTTCTTGGATCACAAATCCATATTCCGTCAGCTCAATGCTGCTAATGCTTATGGACTAAGAGAAATGCTTCTTCATTCACTGCTTTTTTTTTTTCTAAAACTGAAACTAATCTTTTTTTTTCCGCCTGAAATATATAATAATAAAGGAAAAAGTCCCAATCGAGGAAGTTTTCGAGCAGTTGAAATGCACGAGAGAGGGTCTGAGCTCCGACGAGGGGACCAACCGGCTTCAGATTTTCGGTCCCAACAAGTTGGAAGAGAAAAAGGTATTACACCAAAAAAAAAAATAAAAAATGAACCTTCATAATATACTTACCCAACAATTTTTTCACGATGGTCGTTTTCCTTGGGCCGAAAAATGCAGGAAAGCAAGCTTCTCAAGTTTCTCGGGTTTATGTGGAATCCACTCTCGTGGGTCATGGAGGCTGCCGCTTTAATGGCCATTGTTCTGGCTAACGGTGGCGGAAAGCCTCCCGACTGGCAGGATTTCGTGGGTATCGTTTGCTTGCTCGTGATCAACTCGACTATCAGTTTCATAGAGGAAAACAATGCTGGAAATGCAGCTGCAGCCCTCATGGCTGGCCTTGCTCCCAAAACAAAGGTATGAATTTTTCCGGCACATTATATGAATTGAATAAAATCAGTATCTTTTAATTAGGGATAGTATAAAAGCATGCCTCTTTCGTTTTGCGCAAAAGGAATAGGTACCGTTCTGTTTCGTAAAAAACACATTGCCTTGAGGGTTGTTACTTGCTTCCGATTCACGTGCAAAATCGAAACGAACTAAATTTTGAATCTACCTCATCAAATCATTTCCCTTCATCATTTTCTTTCATCAGATAATCATTAGACTTTAAGCATCAAGTAACACTATGTTCTTCAAATTTTACACCCAAATGACAAACATCACATTTTTCTTTGACAAAAACGAACTCCAAGGAGATATTCCTTCTGTTTTNGTACAATCCAAATGAAATATGATCACAAACAAAAAATAAATAAATAAATAAATAAACAACAAATTTAAAAAAAATGCTTGCCGAACAGGTCCTTCGAGACGGGAGGTGGAGCGAACAGGAAGCCGCCATCCTCGTCCCCGGCGACATCATCAGCATCAAGCTTGGTGACATCATCCCTGCCGACGCCCGTCTCCTTGAAGGCGACCCCCTCAAAGTCGACCAGTCGGCTCTCACAGGCGAATCCTTACCCGTCACCAAAAACACTTACGACGAGGTCTTCTCCGGCTCGACCTGCAAACAAGGCGAAATCGAGGCCGTCGTTATAGCCACCGGAGTCCACACATTCTTCGGCAAGGCTGCCCACCTCGTCGACAGCACAAACCAAGTCGGACACTTCCAGAAGGTTCTAACCGCCATCGGAAACTTCTGCATCTGCTCCATTGCTGTCGGCATGCTTGCTGAGATCATCGTCATGTACCCTATCCAACACCGGCCTTACCGTAAAGGAATCGACAATTTGCTTGTCCTGTTAATCGGTGGAATTCCGATTGCTATGCCGACTGTGCTCTCGGTTACTATGGCTATTGGGTCCCACAGGCTTTCGCAGCAAGGGGCTATTACGAAGAGGATGACTGCTATTGAGGAGATGGCTGGGATGGATGTGCTGTGCAGTGATAAAACGGGGACTTTAACGCTCAACAAGCTGACGGTCGACAAGAGTTTGATCGAGGTTTTTGCGAAAGGTATGGATCCGGAGCAAGTGCTGCTATTGGCTGCTCGGGCCTCGAGAACCGAGAATCAAGATGCGATCGATGCAGCTATTGTTGGGACGCTTGCTGATCCAAAGGAGGTGTGTGTTGTGATTTTTTTTTTTTTTTTTTTTTTTTTTTTTTTT